GATGCGGTGTTTCCACTGGGCAAATCATAATATTATTATCAAGCTTACTTTTAGATTAACGGTAACAAGAAAAATGCATATTTGATTAAACTCAGTTTTCAGTGTAATAACTTTATTTTGCAACAAAAGATATAGAAAATGAAACGTACCACTAAAACCAGTTGATAGTGTGTGTATTTGTTGATACATACCCTGTATAATGTCGTTTTTTTCTTCATATAATCTTGTTTTTTGTGATTTAAATTGCCCATTTCGCTTGTTTAAATTTCGTTTAGAATTAAAAAATATATATTCTTTAATTTCTTGGGTTCTTTGTTTTTTTTTTTCGTAAAAAGCAAAATTAACGAAAATAAGTACCAATCAGGTTAATATGTTAGTTTTTGGTAAAGTGTCATTGTTGTCATCATTTTCTCTTGATACCAGTCATTATTGCTCTATCCTTAACCAGCATTGGTAGATATTGATCAGTGGAATAAAGTGACCGAACTTCTTGGTACGCCTTCAGAGTCCTTCCTAAACTTGTTGCAGCCATCGGTAAGATAACCAAGTTCATGGTGCAAAATGCCGACATGACATGCAAGACGAAGTATACATGTAACTTTGCTTGCGTGTGGGGCCTATTTCCAAAATTGTATGGTTTGTCAAGTACTTACCGTTGTATTGTATGTGATAGCTATTGTAGTTACATGTACCTTGAAGGTGGTTTAAAATCCATCTCCATGTACGTCCGTCGGCTGCACTTGACCCTTTAAGCCCCGATATCCACTTACAAATTATCCAAACTGATCTCTCTACATTTCCCTGAACTGACCATTCTGTTAAATCTCATAACCGTTTCTTTTGATAACGTATTGATGTAGCAAGGAGAAAATTGATGTTGGTCACTTATGGGATTTTAAAGGGGTTAATAAGGCTTTAGTCAGGAGCCCATAACCCGGAGCGTTCAACTGCCATAAATTCGTGCAACGGCGTTTTTACAAGTGATTTTATTTTTAGATAAGCTTTTCCCGCGAAAAATAACTGTTCCACGAGGCCAATTCCTCCATTTGATCGTCGTTTAGACTGTTAGTAGCTCGCTTGGACCTTGTCACGGTGGGCTATTTCGAAGATGATTTCGATTTAATTCCCTTTGCGTGAATTATGTGTTGTTGCCGATGACGCACAAGTCCTGGCTAGGTTTTGCAAATCTTGCTCTGAACTGCTAGTTTCCGTCTAAATACTGAAATTGTCGCTTGAAGTACTGTCAGAAGACTCCTCTGAAGATTCCTTACGTGTGTTTCAATGTGAAGGAGTAGTCCTAGTTACGTATTAAAGGTTTATCATTGATGAGGCAATTGCTAGTGATTGGCTTTTCGAAAGGAATTCACGGGAAAGGCTTATCTAAAAGTAGACCTACTTGTGAAAACGCCGTTGCATAGGCGCAGTATGGAAGTTAGACGCTCCGAGTTATGGGCTCCTGCTTTAGTATAATTACATTGATGATTATCGAAAGTAGAGCGCTATGATTGGCTAGGAGCTTCGCTTTATCCCGCTACAATCACCGCGCGGTCATTATAACATTGAAGGCTAGCAGTTTTCAAAATGGCAGCCAGATTTTTGATGTTTCGGAGTCGGAAATTGATCAATAATTTTATTTTCTCAAATAATCATCAATGTAATTAAACTAAAACAATTAGTCGCCTTCGGCGACTAATTGTCAAATAATATGTATGCTTCCTTTCAAAATGATAGTCCAGTTTTGTTACAGAGAAGAGAAGTCGTTACGTCACATTGCCATGGTACAATGTAGCAAAAGTTTTGGATAACAACAAACCCGAAAAAGTCACTCAAAAGTCTATTCGGACTATTTCAAACTTCACCGATCTTATTCAATTTCATTAAAATTTGGCAAATCTTGGCGAAAGTTTCTTTGGGACCGTATCTATCGTTATCTAAGTTTAGAAAAAGAAAGCGACAATGTTTGTGTTTTGTTCAGCTACTCCATAATGCGGGCTCGTGAAATTAGGAAGTTTCGTAGTTTCATAGACATAGTGGTGGAACGACGGCGAAGAAATGTAAAAAATAGCGTGAAGTAAGTGCAAAGTTGTTGTTTGTTGATATAAACATTATTTGCTGTTCTCCTTGCCGTCGCCGTCGTCGTTGGTTTTGTTGTCATCCAGAAATAGTGCTACCATGGTAACATGACGTCACACTTCTCTATTTTTAAGCATTGAAACTGCTTCCTGTCGTCTATCGCTGTGGATGGTAAGTGCCAGCAACTCGCGATTGACCCAAAACAGTCATATTCTCATGACGTAGCCCCTTAACGTCCGTATGGGATACAGTATCTGATTAAGGTGCCATCCCTTCTCCTTTTAACACTTCAAGTTTTAGTTAAAGGGCGCTTTTTATTTGTCAGAACTGACCGGCCAGGACATCCCCGTCTCAATGAGAATTTTACTTGTAATCAAAGCTATCCAGCCAGATCGGTCAAATTCTAAATAGTACGCACCAAAGAAATCGTTTTTCATCAAAAACTCTGGGAAAAAGTCGATTTCATTTTCGAAATGGCCGGTTCGGCTATGGTCTGGCCAGCCAGCTTTGACTTTTGGAAAGCGTTCCAAGTTACCTCGCCGGTTAGTCTTGTCACACAACGCTTGTCCCCAGGAGCGTTGCGTGACGAGCTTAAAAACAGCTGCGAAGGAGAGTCTGCGAAGGAGACTCCCTCGCAGTGAATAGAATTTTATTTAACTTGGTCGTTACATTGCAGGTTCGAATGTACTGTTCCAGTCGACCCAAGCAGCCTGGGTTTAGTTTTGAAGCTCTTTTCCCAGATGAGTTATTTCCACCTGGCAACAAACAGAAAGGTAAAAAGTACATTGTGTTATTGTGTTTTATAGAACAGTGTGCATCAGGCTCAAAATGTCAACTTATCGTTAGAACGACTTATTATATACTTACATGCACATGTATGAGTGTATGCTATGGGAAGAAGCAGGTTGCCGATTTTCGCATGACCTTGAAAAATGGTTTCGGTAGTTGTTCGTTTTTTCTTTTATCAGCCAATGGATGAAAAGATCAAAACATGGACTCTTCGTTTTGCTGCCAAAGAAACCCCCTTATGTGGAAAAGGCATCGTGCGATTAGCCAATCGTGTTGCCTTATGACGTCAAAACGAAGTATGGAATGATTTCTAGAAAGTTCTCGGGCATGAAGTTTTTTCACCCGAGCGTTCGATTATCCAACCAAAAGCAACGCGCGTTTGTATCTGTTCGATAAACCAACCAGATTACTTTATCACTTCTAAGTGTGATTACAGTTTTACTACAGTAACACCGACAACTTGTGGATATTTTATTTTTTCAGCTGATGAGTGCCGAGATCTACTGTCCAAAATGCTGGTTGTTGATCGGTCCAAGCGGATATCAGTGATTGAAGCCCTACACCACCCATACATACACGTGTGGTATGAGAGGAGCGAAGTGGAATCAGTACGTCATTTTTCTTTTCTTTTTACTTCATTTCTTTTAGTACTGATTATTTTCGTTGTAACGCTTGCATACTTTTTAGGTCTGCTTCCTGAAAGGCCTATCTGCGAAAATCCAGGATTAAGATTTTAATACACGATCGTTTACCGTAATGATCTAATTACGCCCCTTCATATCTAATAAACGTTAAGTTTGCCGCGTATTAGATGCCTCTCTTTTATAATCGCCCCCTGTCTGATAGACGCTCCCCCCCCCCCCCCCCCGCCATGACAATAGGGAGCTTTAGCATCGACGACGGCGACGGCAGCGAAAAAGTCACTTTTAAAATGAATTCGCGTTTTTACAAACTTTGTCGCGTTTATTCCAATTCACTGCAAATGTGAAATGTGGGCGAATTTCCTTGGAGTTGATTTCTTGGCGACCGGACTCAAGCTTAGAAAGAGAAAGGAAACTTTGTAATCGCTTGTTTACGTTCCCATTAATCGTGAAATGAGGCATTTTCACGTCGTAGTCGTCCAGTGACGGCAAAGAAATGTACAAAAGAGTGTGATGCACGTGTAAAGTTGTTGTTTTGCTAATCAAACCTATTGGTTTTTTGCCGTTCTCGTTGCCGTCGCCGTCGTCGTTGCTAAAGCTCCCTAATTACTCCACAATACTAGCAAATAGCTAAATGAAGCAAAATCATTCAATTATGCAGTTTTTTCACCCTTCATTAACAAGGGTTTGCTTATTACATCTAGTTCAATATCAAGTTTAAAATAAGGATAGGCTAACGATGACCCTGAACGAGGAACTTGAGATTCGAAAGATAGATATGGATCCCCAGAGGACCTAGACGCCGAAAGCATATCAGTTTTGTCGAGCAAGGAGGCACCGTGGCCAAGTGGTCGGCGCGTCGGACTCGCAATCCGGCGGTCCCGGGTTCGAGTCCCGCTCTGGCCACTTGCTGGATTTGTACTCGGTCGTCCCGAGTTCAGATCCTCGGCTACCCTTGTAAATAGCCAACCGGTTGCGTCCTGCCAGTTGGGGTTTTTAATCCTGCTATGTTGTATTTGAATTATTTGTTTCAAAATATCTGCGTGGAGTGCCTGTGAACTAGCTGGATAAGCGAAGTGCACTTTCCACTATAAACAAGCCTTTAAACCTTTTTTTAACCTTTTTTTGACAACTGTGAGAATAAGTCCATCTCAGTTTTACGCCCCCTATTTATTACACGCCCGCCCCCTTCCGGAAACCCTAAAATTAAATAAGTGCCTGGGCGTCTGTTAGCTCATTTTATCGTACTTACGATCAACCCGGCTATTATTCTGTAGTCGAGCTCGAAATGTTTTGTTTTATTTTCCCATTAAATCAAAAAACAATCACATCAACTAAACTGAACATGGGCTTTTTAAGTGTTCCAAATTTAGTTCCTTGATTCTTTCAGAGCTTGAATCGTCACTGCTCAGTTTTGCTGGATCACGTTGCACTTCAACTTGACAGGGAGGGGCTAAAAGGAAGACAAGATAGCAAGACGAGCGCGGGTTGGGGGGATTATTTGAGGAAGGCGATTATTTTAAATATTTCCATCGAAGGGTGGCGATTGTTCGAGGGAGGCGATTAATCGAGGGATGGCTATTATTCGAAGAAATACTTTATGCAGTTTTTCTAGAGGTTGTTAGAGTATCATTTTGTGTTATCATAACTTGCGCAGTAAAGGCTGAACAGTTATTTTATACAAGCTCTACAGTTTCATGTTTTCTAATTCTAGACACAAAAATCTTTGCCTGAATTTGTCACAATGATCAGATTGTATTTATTTGTTTGTTTCTCGTAGGTAATACCCAATAAATACGACCACTCCTTAGACGAGAAAGACCTCACTGTAGATGACTGGAAACGTAAGTATTTTTTTAAAAATCCGTTATTATTGATTTTGACGTTTGGTCAGCAAGTAAATTTCGTACTTTTTCTTACTTTTACAGCGGTGTTATAAACGCGAACTCGTACTTATCCCAGTCCCCCTGTTTCACGTTTATCCTTATCATTGGTGACCGGTCGTTCCGTCGACGCATCGTTTCATTAACGGTCTTTTTGCTAAAGTTTTAAGTCGTTTAACTTACGAAATACCCTGCGAGCAGAGTCTCCTTCGACCTTCCTAGATAATTCCTCTTCCCGACTTATCTAGGAAGATCGAAGGAGACTCTGCTCACAGGGTACTTACGAAACGAAGCGAGCTCTTTGACACGAAAAAGTCTTATGCTCATGTGCATACAATACCTAGTTTTTTGAGTCATGATCAGGCGAAAGAAATGGGAAGGGATGTGATCTAACGTTAGCGAAACGGCTTACGTTATCAGCGAAAAGGACGTTGCCGAAACGACTCGTAGGCGAAACGACCGTAAATCCTATCGTGCAATCATTGCCTGTTAAAGGAATTATGTCCATATAATTTATCTTAGGTACAATCTACCGAGAAGTGATATCTTATAACAGTATGAATGAGATCCCGTCCCCAGTTGAAGGAAACGGAGAGATCAATGCCTCCTCATCCAGCTCAAGTATTTCATCAGGTATTCGTTTTGTGTTGTTTTAATGCTCCTTTTGGTTTAAGGAATTGAAAATTAGTCATCCATATAGTCACAAGATGTGGATGAATCCACTGGTCTGCGAAAACAGCCGCACTTCACTACGCCACTAAAGGTTTCCCCTGCGAATACGTCTGAGCAATGACTGCAGAAATTGCGTACTAATGACGTGTCCCTCCCCAGATCTGGGGTTCTTTAACCAATCAGAAGTACTACCCAGATCTGCCGTGGGTAGTGACTCGTCATCAGTATGGAATTTCTGCGCTCGTTCCTCAGACGTTAGTCCGCGAGCAAACCAGTGGACAGTGGTGTCGCCAAATGTCGGCTGTTTTCTCAGGCCGGGAACCCACTGAATATTTTTTTTTCATACTTAACGTGTACTGAAATAACGTTCCTTGAGTTAACGTGTGACCTAAATCACATTGTAGCCACAAATAAGAAAAACATAAAGCATGACAAACTAAAACTTAAACTATATACTAAGGCAGGTCACTGCACTGCAAACTCTGCAAAATAAATAAAAGATAAATAAGACAGCAATTTAACTTAGAAAGAAAATTTCTTACAAAAAAAAAAAAAAAAAAAAAAAAACAGGTATGCAAGTGATCCGTGTCAGAAAAACTAACAATAGAATCATTTAACACCCTAACTTTATAAGATAAAATTTTGAGTTAATCTTAGTGGAGACCTGCGTGTTGTCAGGAGTCGATATAAAAAGTATGTAAATCCTTTAGGAATAGAAAGCGGAAAAAAGAAAACAAAACGTAAAAAGAGAGACACACAGGTTGGATCCGGAACGTTAGGCTCAAGGTTAGTAACTGAAATAATTGAATAAATTAAAACTTAGGAACCTAAACTCAACCGCTAATGTATAAACTTAGTGATGTTCGTCGTGGTTATTGTGTATAACAGAACTTCGTTTATCGGTTGTCTCACGATAGTCACTTAGGGCCTGTTTACATGGAGGTGGGGGACCCCAGGTAGCTGAGGTAACCCGCTTAGGTGGGATAACCCGCCTGTCCATATAATCTTTCATTTTAATTTGATCACGTTTACATGATAGGTGGGTTTGTCAACTTTATGTAGAGGGGTGATCGCGACGTTTGGAATAGGTGCTGCAGGTCTTCATCACGCGATTGTGCTGTGTGACTGACTGTACTCAGTAAATCGACACGGCCAGACCGGAAGTACGCGATCGAAACAACGCGATCAATATCTAAGGATAGTTATTCAAGTGGAATGGTTATGGAACCCATGAAACTCCTTTGTTATGTTTTTTTTTAGCCTCTTTGGACCTGACCGTGCACAACGTTCAATAGGACTCCTATCATTTTGAACTGACTTACTGACCAATAGAAGCCTCGCATTAATTTATTCAGTCCCAATTTGTGAACAAAAAACAAAGGATTGTGCGCGGTCAGGGAGTTTTCATCCTAAGCTACAGCATCTTTGTTTTCAACTTGTTTACCGGCTTTCATAACCGTTCTACTCTTCTATGATCTAGGTGAGATAAACGATAAACGAAACTCTTTATAAATATAATCTTAACTTTGTCAGAGGTTTCTTTCTCTTTCTTGAAAACTTTGAAAATGGTGCATCGGTGTTACCAAGAACGTCTACCCATAACATAAAGTCTGGTCTTATGCTTACGTCACACGCTCAATCTGATTACAACTGATCGCATCGATATTTATAGAGTTTGTCCGCGTGACGTCGCGGTGGCCATATTAGTGAGTTTACGCAACAGGCCCCGGTTCAAACGTTGGATAGCGCTATCCACCGGATAAATCACTATCCAGCTGATAAGTATTACGGAAATCAATTACGCTATCCGCTGGATAGTGATTTATCCGGTGGATAGCGCTATCCAACGTTTGAACAACTGGGGCCAGGACGGCAGGAAGAAGAGGATGGCAAAATGTTTGTGTGTGACAAACGTGACAGGGCTATAACTTGCGTGTTTTGTCGTGATCTTCACTTAGCGTTAATGTTTTCTTGTGTTTAAAAAAGATCTGTTTAAAGGAAAGTGATGTTTGGCGGAAAGTTATTTCAAACAAAATCGTTGTCACGGTTGTCACTCAAGGTTTGCCGTCTTCTTTCCTCTCCCGTCCTGTTGCGTAAGTTCACTATTGAAGGAGTGAAGCAGTCTACTCGAAACTGAACTTTTTGTTTATACAACTAACAAATCGACCGCAATTTTCCATGGTCTACAGATTTCCATAGAAATGACTTCATAAAATGTTCAAAACTCAAATGGAACCGCGAGCCGTATGCGAGTGGTTTCACTGCAAAGTTTTGAAGATCTTATGGCGTGATTTCTATGGTCTGTAAGAGTGTAGACCCTGGAAAATTATGGTCGATTTGTTTTTTACAATAACATTTATTTTTAGTTTCCTGCGAAGTTTCTTGGAAAATGTTACGTCATTTGCGTGGTCTATATTCTCATAAATCATAGCTCTCGACCAATCAGGGCGCGAGGATTCGCTCAGTTATTATAAAAACGGTTTTCTTTGTAGACACTAATGGGCGCAGGTCACGGGAGCGAACACATTTTTATGATTTTTTCTTGTTAACGCCATTGCGCTCACGTTTCTTTTAAAGTACCAGTGACTGTGTTTTACAGAACCTACACTGCGCTTTCTTTTAGAATCCGACAGATGATACGAGGAGATGACTACTAACAAAAAGAGCAGGAGGGAAGTACATTTCAGCCTGAATTATCGCAAGATGTAATTATTTATCTATTTGACCTAGTGGTGTTTATAAACACATGGCTCTTAGTAGGTAAGGCCATGACTGAACAGTACTTTAAGCTCTGTAAGTAACCATTTTTTTTTTCTGTGCTACTGTTTCTTGCATTGATAGATCGGATACTCCGTCTTTAGTGTTAGGTAAACCACTCCAGGGCTGCACTGAGGTGGCGTTGTAATGTTATACGTTATCATGTCGCGTGAGTCTAGTCGTGCGTTTCAACACGCTTACGTTAATGAACTCGCGTGAACCCGAATGTTCTCGGGTGTTATTTCGTCTTTGTCACTTCTATGAGGAGAAAGAGGAATAGTATTATCATCCCTGCAAGCCGTGAGAAAATTACAAACGAAAAGTTGACATAATATTCAAGACTGGTTGAACCAGCAATACTTACAGAATCTAATGATATAGGGTTCGTGTTTTAGTAAGGAACTGAAGTGTGCGTGGAATCTAACATATGCAGAAAGTACGTTAGCACTTTAAAGGATAATGAAAACCAGAAAAAAGGGGGATAAAATGCTACCTGCCTGGTTAAAGTAAAAAAGAGATCTTAAAAACTGTTAGACGAGGACGACTACGAGTACGAGATTTTCTCAATACCAAGAAGTGCGCGCGTGTGCAGAAAGCGTCATGTTGGCGGGAAAACATGATAGTCATTGTCATTCTACGTATCAACTTTTATACGTTTTGTCGCATTTTGTGATCGAGAGATGGCTTAAAAAGAGTAAAGTGAGGCTTTTCCGAGGTGTCTATTTGTGAGAATGCACGGAAAGCGCTTTAAGTCAAGTCTCGTCCTCCTACTCGTCTACGAGCTCGAATCTTCAGATCTCTAATATTAGTAGTGTTAATTCTATATACTTCCATGATCGGCAGAATTTAAGTAGATTACTTTTGAATGTGGTTTAACTGTAAACGAAAATTTCGTCCGTGATGCTTGACACACTAACAAGTACTAGAAGTGCTTTAAAAAGCAGATTTTCTTCGGTTATAAAACCCTTCTTCAGCAGTAGCACGTGCATGCAGGAACGGTGTAACTGAGGAAGTGAAGACCGGGTTTAGATCTTTCAATGAAGAGCTTTAGATTCTAAGACGAGTACGACTACGAGGACGAGATTTAATAGGGAACTTAAGCAAAGACGTTTTTGAGCGACGAACGTCAACCGGAAGTGAGGCACTTTTCCTCTCACTATGCCTTGACGCTACTAAGCGTATATCTTCCAGCTTCTTTACTCGCATAGGGGCAATTCATCTGAAAATTTGGGGATAACAGCTGCCTAAGAATGCAAAGAGTCCAGTTCCGGTTGACGTGCGTCGTTCAAAAACGTCTCTGCTTAAGTTCCCTAATACTAAGTAGTGCTCGCCCGTGAGGCAGCGTCATTTTGGCGGGAAAACGTGATAGCCATCGTCATGCTACTACGGGTTTTAGCGAGAATGTCGTAATGGCGGAAATGAGTTATCAAATGTTAGAAGTCTGATCATTTTTTGATCGAGAGAGGGCTTAACCTCCATCAATATAGATAACAGTACTATCTTTCCTAATCAAAAAAGTACAAAGAAGCTTTCCTGGGAGTCTATTCTTTGAAAATACGCGAAAAAAACTTTAAGTCAAATCTCGTATTAGTAGTCGTTCTCGTCCTAGAATCTAAAAGTCTCTAATAGCACTTAAGTGCAAGAACGACAATGTAGTTGTGTTTGAAAGATAAGAAGTTGCTGCAATTTTGTTTACGTGAAGTCAAATTAAAGATAGTTATTTTTCATAATTAGGATTACTTTAAAAAGAGGATAGAGGATATTCTGACCGTTTCAGTTATTAAGTTTTGCTGAGTAATAGTTAAAAGTTTTAGGTAGTTCATATGAGAGAGGTCGTGGTGCACTTGTTAAGGTCGAAGTCGCCGGCTTAACATGTACTGTCACAGCTTTTCCAAGTAGCGAGAACAAACCACCCTGACATAAATAGGCACACATTAGTACTAATTAGTTCCACTCGAATTGAAGTTGGCTTTAGTTATCTAAGCGCAATACGTCACTTCCGCATTTCACATAGTGCACCATATTTGCCCCCCAAAATTTTGCATAACCTTTGTTTCTCAATTCTCCTGGGTATTACAGGCGTCCCAAGAGAAATTGAAAACCATACTTATGTAAAATTTTGGGGGGCAAATATGGTGCACTATGGGAAATGTAAAAGTGACGTATTGACCATTTTCATCGAGACCACAATGCACCTTGTTCTCCCCCAAAAAAAGAGGTTGCATAACCATTGTTTCCAATTTCTCATGGGTATCATAGACGTCCCAATAGAAATTGAAGGCAATTGTTATGCAAAATCTTGGGGGGGGATATAAAAAGCGACTTCTAGTCTACGTGAAAATTATGAATATTTGAGTTTTAAGTAAATGCGTCCTTTTCCTAGTTACATTAACTAACGTTATGGTGTTTCGTTTCCGCTGCGAGCATTATTAAGTAATTTTTTTCGTAATCTCAAGTATTTTAATTGATACATTAATAAAGAGCGTAAAATGGCCAAGAGTATTGTTATTTTTTAAATTTTTTCGCTTACTGTAAATAAATATTATAAAGACTAGAAAAATAAGAAGATATAAGGCGAACATCGAATAAATGCACGAGTTAAAAGTTGGTTCCTTGTAATTCCTCTTTAAAATCTTGACTGTTGGAAAGTTCGATTTTTTGGACTTTTTTAAATCTTCACTTTTCTGGTCTAAAAACCATTCTTTTATATCCGGAATGTCGAAGAACGATTTTTCTGGCTTGTTTTGCCCAGAAAACACAAATGAGAAAAAGAACGATTTTTTTGACAAAGCCAGGGACTAACCCTTTGGCAAATTTCGATTTCTGGACTTTTTTGAAACTTCCCTTTTTGTGCTCTAAAAAGCATTCTTTTCTATTCAGTATATCAAAAAACGATCTTTTCTGGCTTGTTTTGCCCAAAACACACAAACGAGAAAAAGTTCGGGCTAACCTATGATTTTAATTCAAAAATGGTTTCTTTTTTAGCACAACAGGTGAAGAAATATTATAATATTGTTGGGAAATATTCTACACACACACTGTAGAAAAAAAGTCATTTTTTGCTTCAAAAATATCGATTGTTGAATGGTTTGGGTCAAAAATTGAACAATTTTTAAATTGTTTCCTCTTTGGCCAAACGGGTGAAGGCAAAGTGTTCGGTTATGCTTTGTTGATAAACAAGCTTTCCTAGCCAAGCAAAATAACGATATGTTTGAATCGTCTCATTGAAATTTTTCTAGGGGTCATAACCCATGGTTTTGGTCGGAAAAGGAAATTTTTAAGCCTCGGACGTACACCCAAATTCATACCCCCACCGTGGTACAAGGGAGGGTAGGGGGGCAGGCGGAATAGATGGAACCCCTCCCCAGAGTTTTTGATATGTTGAAGTATTTCGAAGTAATTTTGGCTTCCGTGGAAACTTAAGCCTGTGATCTTCTTAACAAGATGAGGTATATTTTACGGGTGGTGGCGCTGCTAGAGGTCTGTAATATTAGCAACAATAGTCACCATCTTGGCTGCCACCTGTTTCGGGACTTTACCAAGAATTAGAAATCAGGTTAAAAATGCGAGAAGTGTTAATTTTTGGTGCTTGACATGAAAAATAACACATAAATAAGCACTTTGCATGATTTTAGGCACAAGATTTACTTTTATTGTTAAAAGAAGTTAAAAACTGACATGTTTTTTCACTCAAAAATGGCTTGATATCCTGCTACTTATGACGTCATATCTCGTAACCGTAGAAACTGACCATCACTGAACTTCTCTCAAAATGCGCGCGAGGAACAAACGAACAACTACTGAAAACGTCAGGTGCTGATGTTTTATCCTCTAGGAAAAAACTCAAAAAACCTCAAGAGGAGGAGGGAGGGTGGCAACCATCAGCCCCCTTGTACGTCCGAGGGTTAACTTGACAATTTTTTTTTTTGAGCAAATAAGTCAAGGAAAAGTGTTCGATGAAGTTCTTTATAGAAAAGAAAGCCATTCTAAACTAGAAAATATCGATTTATAAGGAGTCGATGTTTGATTGGCAAAATAGGTCAAGGAAAATTTAACTACCATACCCATCGAGGATGGTACCGGCATATCACCCCATCGCTCCAGCTTGTTACTATCTAGATCTATTCGCTTTTGCAAGGTCATCTAGGTGAGAGATCAACCAGCACTAAAGAACAGCGCACAAGACGAAATAGAGAAGTGCTCAGTAATGATGGCCATTGCTATCGTTGTTATGTTTTTCATTTGCTGGATACCTGGCGGCGATACCCAGAGACGAACCAGTCGTCCGACGGATAATTCGTCCAAAGGGATTATCCTTTTGTCAGCAGTGGGATAGATGAAGGAAATGCTGTGTCCTGATGTGCTACCTGAGCATGGAATTGTTCGCTTTATCGCGGAAGAACAAAATGGGAGGAACATGTGGCTGCAACTCTGAGAAAAGACGTTAGTATAAAGTAACATAATTACATAATAGGGCCATTTATACGAGCAAAAATAAGACACCTTACGTAAGACGCGTCTTAAATAAGACGCGAACTTTCCGTATAAACGGCACATTTCGTCTAAAATAAGACGCGGCTTAGCTAAGACGCGTCTTATTAGATAAGACATGCTCGTATAAATGGTACAGTTCGAATCTTATTTTTCCTCGTATAAATGGCCCCATTGTATCAACCTGGCTTGTTTGGTCAAGATCTTCATCATGGTCTCGCTCATTTTTGCGGTTTTATTGAAAAAATCATTGGGACTATAAAATCACAGAAAACAAAGAACTTGGCAAACAACCAGCCATATTGACGACACATCTAATCAATGGCGCAAATATGAAATCGTAAATGCAGTCAATAAGGGTATGCAAAGCTGATGGGTTTCAAAATCATGTCAGCTTAAAGACGACTTCTATATTTTGCGAAGATTTGTTTAAAAACAGCTTTTTTTGGAAGCATGTTACTAAGCTTTACTTCAAGTATGCAAACGCAGACGTATAATTGGTCGTAAGGTTAGAGCCCTTATACTCACCCGCAGAGAAACGTTTCACATTAACACAACAGCAAGTGTATCAAGTTCCCAAAGCTTCCCCAGTCTGATAAATTCGGTAAGCAGAAAAACTTGGAAAAACAGTTGCTTATAGTCTGATCGCTGTTCTTGCTTTGCCCGGAAATTCTCTCATCGGAATCATTGCCTGCAAAACTCCAACTTTAAGAAAACAAATTAACCCATTGATCGTGAACATGGCCATGTCAGATTTGCTTTATCCAATAGTCCTCACTGTTTCCTGTTCGACAGGCGGAATTGCACGTTGGCTCGTGCCTTATTGGTGGTGCCCCTGGTCAGGCCTTGGGCAAGCTACACGTTTTCCTCGCAGATGTCTCATCGTTAGTATCGATTCAGAGCCTGATTCTTATAACAGTGGATCGATTCGGAGCTGCTGTAGTTCCACTCCGTTCCTCCCTCATCAGTCTCAAGCGTTGTAAGTTGTCCATTTCTGTCACTTGGATTGGCTATGGCGATGGAAGGGCCATATCTGTTTGCTTCAAGTCTTGTTGAAAACCCAGAAGGAATGATGTGCCAGCGTCAGTTGAAGGAGGCCTTCGGAGCGGAAAGCTCATATGCTATTTTCCTCATATCAGAGGCTATGGTGTTTCCTGCCGTTCTTTTGGTTGCACTTTACTCCATCATCCTGATCAAACTTAAAAAGCAATCCCATCCAGGTGAACAGTCAGCCAACAACGGATAAGAAGAAACAGAAAAGTGCTTAAGATGGCCATAGCTATCGTTTTGGCGTTTTTTATTTACTGGATACCATTTTTCAGTAACCAGTTAATATTCTATTTCGCATCGGACAGTCCCGTTTGGTCGTCCTGCAGGTTTACTCTATACAAAACTGTCACCTTCATGGCTTACGCAAACTGTGCTATCAACCCGATTATCTGCCTCATTTTTAGCAGTAACTATCGCTGTGGTCTTAAGAGATTTGTTACATGTCGGCGTACAAGGTTGACGTTTGAAAACTGATAGTTCTATAAAGCTATTCGTCAACGAAAACCGAATATCCAGAACTTCACCTGCAAAATATAACAAGTTCATATTTAGGGACAAGAAGAAATTTAGACGCTCCTTTAAAGGATCGTCTGAATTTATTCAGTGCTCCTTACTCTCGAAACGGTATAGCTGTACAAACGATGTCTGTGTTAAGCTCGTAACGAATTAAATTAGCATATGGTGAAGTTATATTCGACAAGCGTTTTAGTGATACTGTCCCTTGAGAGTCGCCTCCTGTTCCCTTGTGACACATGAGAAATATCATTAACAGAAGTAAACAACAATAGAGGTCCAAAATGGAACCTTGTAGGACACCACAATTAACTCATTTGGTAGACGAACAATGCCCATTGTATTAATGGTCATCGCAAATATACTGAAATTCTTGTCGAATATAACTTCACCCTATGCAAAGTCAATGTGTTATGGCATCTTTCTTTCCTTGGAAGAAAGATGATCTGTAATGTATGTATTGCATCACATGACTTTTTTTTGGCTGTGGATTTTGCTTTCGTAATACACTGAATACACAGAAGAAATGAAAAAGAAAGAAGAAGAAATTAAGATGTGGATGCGTAAGCCGAAGAAGGCCTTAGATATTTACCGCCTTGCAATTTCCACCATTTTTATTTTCATCCCTACTGTCCAGCTGGTTGCACTTTACTCCATCATCATGATCAAGCTTAAAAAGCAAGTCCATCCAGGTGAACAGTCAGCCAACGCCGAGGAACAGAGCACAAGAAGAAACAGAAACGTGCTTAATAAGATGGCTATCGCTTTTGTGTTGTTTTTTTTTTGCGGGACCCCCTACGTCATTAACGAGTTGATATCTCTTTGTTTGCTCACGGGTATGATATGTTCCTGTAGTTCAGATATATACACTTATCTCAGCTCCATTTTTATCTCCGCATGTTGTGTGATCAACCCAATCACTTGCTCCTTTTTTAGCAGCAATCATCGCAGAGCTCTTAAGGGATTTCTGAATTAGTCTAGAACTGGGCAGGTTTAACTGTAGACAAGAGACGTATAACTGCGAGTGCTCCGGTTTTTTATTGCAATAAAAGCCTAAAAGCGAAACGGCCGTCTGTATACAAAGGTCCCGTCCACACAAATACGGATACTTTCGAAACCGCGTATTTTTTTTTTCTACGAAACCAGTGAACCGCATATTGTGAAACCCCTCTACGAAGTGGATTTTTTTGGATCCGACGGGTTTGGTTATTTCGTGTGGACGACTGAAAATGGGTATTTTTTATGTCAACTACGTCATGAATGCGAGAGTAGTCTCAAATGAAAACTCTCGAATTCAAAATGGTGGACATTACAATGACTCTACAACTTTGCACCTTTGCTTGCTCTGATCGCCATTCTTATCGCATGCGTTGTGCTAATTTGACGACAACAATAAGCCATTTCAAAAGATCGAAGACTTAATCTCATTCTGATTATGAAATCTTTAAGTTCGAGACGAAGGTCGGAACCTTGTCAAAGTCGATTTTAGGTTCGTCTAACGTGAACAAGTGCCTGGTGAGACAACGTAGAGGCAGGACTGGCCATTGTGCTCGATAAAGCTACAACAACATTCAGAAATGTCGCGAAATCACATCGCAGGCTCTGTTTGTACATGCTTACTAACTAGTAATTAGAAAATGAGTGTAAATCGCCAGTAGCGTATTTGTGTGGATAGGTGAATCCAAACGGCGGATACGCCACACTGAAGTCATGTAGACGCAGTTAGTCCAGCATACATGGATTCGTGTGGACGTGGTCTCATAGTAGCTGTAATAAACTTTATGCTATTGCAATACTCGATCGACTTTAGGAGCCCTCCATAGGAGGGAGGAGTAAGGTGATATTATAGAAATATCCTTTCACAGGATTTATTTTAAATGACATTCCCATTGGTCAAACTAATGCGTTTTCTTTAACATCAAAAATGCATCGATCGATTTACGTCCACGCTACCGTTTTGATGAGTTTTCGACTATCCACACTTAACGTTTCAAAACGATAGAATTGCATGTTGTGACGTAAGATAGATAGATAGATAGGTAGATAGATAGTTTATTCTGATTAAAATCGCAGCCAAAAGCTGAATTAGATTAATCGTTACAATAATAAAATCTAAAAAAAATATGAGAAAAATATAAAAAAAATGTACACATATGTAGCTAAAAATTTAATTACAGTTGCTATATATAAATGTGTTCTTAAGTCTCTTCGTCTTAGCCAGAGGGACTCTATGCGCATGCTACAAGAGCCTCCGATATTTTGCAACCTACATAGTACATATGACGTCATCGTTTTCATTTTGATGCATTTTTGACCGTTTTGATAGTGTCTATGATACGATATGTTAGGCATTCCTTTGATCTATTCGAGAAAGTTGTTAAGTCGATAATATAACTTCTCAATGAAAAGGCCCAGCGTAAGTTAGTGGACGGAAGGCCTAAACACATCGAAATATGTGTGGACGGGGCCCTCTATTTACAGCCAAAAGAAAGAGGACAGAAAGAAAGAAAAGGAAAAAAAAATAGAAAATGTAAATCAAGTTCGACCACAGTAGTTGGCCTGGAAATGAATTCTTTCCAAACCACATTTATTGTTTTAGGTTTGAAATTGTGAAATACAGAAATGAATTTATAATGAGTACATAGCGATGTAAATTGAGGAATCCTGACTATCACCCGCATTATAATAATTTAAAGAAACGTAACTCCTAGTGTGACTATAAAAAACGTTTTTAAATTTGCATTGAGCAATTGTTGGAAGGTTGTTCCCTTTGGATATGAAGACGTGAATTCCTTTATCTTGAGTTGAAAACTTGTGGAACAAACGAAAAGTAAATTGTAACCGTTTCAAACGACAGGGATTCAAAAACTCTTTGTAAAGGACAAAATTCATATTTCTACGCGCGTAGCAGTTCATTGATGTGTATTCTATCTCAGTGCTGAATCAACAATACTTATATCAAACACATACGATATATATATCTTGCTATCGGTAATGCTAGTCATTTTACTTCATCTTCGACTATAAGTAAGCAATTCTGTATATGTCAAAAGCATAGTAAGTTATGAAGTATATATGAAATAATTCATTTTTGAACTGCGGAAATTGGAAAATTGGAAAATTGGAAAATTTACTGCGATGATTATTCTTCACTTTCATCTACTACCGCAGTTCAAGAATGAATTATTTCATATATACTTCACATCATTTAACTCCTCACGGGAGATATGAACTCAATAAATTGACCTCGCTCCTAATGTGTGGCTTCATAGCTCAGTTGGTAGAGCAACGCACCGGTAACGGGGAGGTCACGGGTTCGAATCCCGTTGAAGCCCTGATTTTTTCAGGCTTCTTCTTTCCAATTGCTTAAATTGGAAAATTTACTGCGATGATCATTCTTCACTTTCATGGTAAGTTATACTGCTTGCTGCTCAAGTAAAAATAAAACTTAAAGACAATACTCCTGGTTAATGGCTTTTACCAATTGTAAAGTCCACGCGACTGTCACAGGACTAATCTTCCCGAATTTAAACATAAATGGGAAGTTAATGAAGATTCCATAAATATCCGATCAATGGGCTTTTAAGGTTCTAGAACACTCTTAAGGAAGAAAGAGTTAGTTAGTTAGAGAGAAGACAAACGGAGTTAGCAAGGAGGAGTTAGCAACTGGAAAGAAAGATTTGGAGATTGTTGAAGGAAAAGTTAGAGATAGAGAGAGGGAGTGAACTAAAGCAGCAGCGAAGGATTAACCTTAAAGATTAAGTGAATTGGAAGAGAAGTAAGAATGGACAACCGCCCTGCGATTAAGTAAAATAAACCTTTAAAATATAACTGGTTGATTGTGGAGTTGCTCTCGTCTTGCCGTCCCCATCAATAAACGACACACAAAGATCGTCTATCACGACTAACGAAAACGCGAAAGACTTCGTAAATGCTAAAAGCCGTGCCAAACCAGAAAGAATCTCTACTCGCAGGATATTTAAAACCCAAAATTTCCCACACAAAAGATAAGCGCATTGTAGCCCTTATTTTATTGTCTTACGAATTTTCAATAAGGTCGTATAAAACAACGGTTAACGAGAATATCATCTTTTAAAAAATCCATTAAACGGTTTCAGAATTATTTGCTCAATTTTTGGTTAATGTATGAGCCAAATATAAACTTAAATGCGAACAACAGCATCTCACGAATGCTAATGAAATCCCTCTTTTTTAGATCGTTTAAAACTATCCCTTTGATTCTTTCAGGTTTCATTAGTTTTCATTGTGACCCATCTGGAACTCAATTAATTTTTCTGGCGGAGCGAGTTTATAATTTTGTCGCGCGCGCAGCGCGCGGATCATGCGAGGATCGCAAGACAACTGCGATTTCGCTTTTGTCATAAATCTTTCTATCGGTTTGGTGTCTGCAGTTGCCTAGCAACAAGCCATAAACAAATTCTAAAGACGCCATTAAACATGACGTGATCGTGCGTTTTGGATTTCCAGGCAACAACGCCGGCGACTTGGGCTCATTTTATTCATCCTCTGTTTATTGTACGTTTGCGAATCGCAAAGTATTTCTGTGGCAAATAACAGCGGGCTGCCAACACAACAGTGCCCGGTTGGACAAGTGGCCGGAAATCCTTGCCGTGGGAGTCTTAACACCAAAAGAACGGTGACCTGAACTTCAGCTAGCCTGCGAAAAAGCATCCGTTTCTTCTCGCTCTTCGCTGCTGGGGACGTTTCGCGAAACGTCCCCAGCGCCGAAGAGCAAGGAGAAACGGATGCTTTCGCAGGCTAAACTTATTAATAAGCGAGAGCAGCGATAAAGGAGACCATTCCGTTAATCGAGCGGTCTATACAAAGCCCGAGAGTGAATAAACAAGGAGATAATGTGAAATGGTTTTGAAATACTCGTTTTGAGCTACTCTTCCTCAAATGTATCTTTGAATTCATGATAAATACAGCTCTACAAGGTTCGAACAGTGTGAATGGCAGAGAAAAATACTTCAACACTTATAATTTTGGTGTAGTGGTCGCATGGCCCAGTGGTCAGAGGCCGCACTTTTCGGCCGGAGGAACTGTTGGGGTGCAGGTTCTAATCCCGGGGTGGCTACTTCCATACTTTTTTCATCGCATTTTTAACCTTTGGCTTTCTCACTACTGACCATGTTAGCTTCGCGAGATTTTTGCGAAAACATATTTCTAGTTTAATTTGCTATTTGAATTTATATTGACAATATATATTGATAAAAGGTTTCATTAAAGTAGGCATCATTACAGACTAAAGCAACGTTTTTATGTCACAATATTAAACTCAGCGACGATTGAGTGGCATTATTTTCAGTAACTTTTAAACAAAGCAGTAACGAAGTCGACTGTAGAAGGAGCAGATGACTTGTCCAGGTGCCCCATTCAAACGTATGACTTAACATGTTTAATTAAACCATGTTTTTAAACATGTAAAACGGACACGAAAAACAGGAACACAGGTTTTTAATTACACAGGATGCAGTAATAAAATTCAACCCGTTTTGTAATTTGCAATAAAGTTGCCATCAACCTAAAGTGCTTTTATGTAGGCAAGAAAAAATTATGCTGTCTTTGACTAAACAACTTTTAATTTATATGTTTAAGCTTTGGTGTGAATGGGGCATAGGCCGATCAGCTGGGTGAAAACTTTCGAAAATAAAATCGATAAAACAGTTCAATTCAGCTTTATCTACTAAGCAGTCTTTCCTTTAACTTTTTTTATGAGAAAAAAAAAAAGAAGACAAAGAAACCTTACTTTAAACAAGGGTCTTTTACAAATGCATAGGATAGCTGTATCATTATAGAAAGTTAGCAGTTTATATATAGGCAAAAGTTAAATGTTTATTTAACAATTAGTTCATGCGTCAGCGTGAGTATATCAAGATATCAGGCAAACGGCAAATTTGGGGCGTGAGAGTTGCTCTATTCGAAGACGGAATGGGAAAGTTGTATCGTTATACCAAGTTAAGCACTAGTTAATACAGAATTGACTTTACACCGTCTGCGGCAATAACAGAGGCAAAAGCCAGTGAAAGTTAGCTTAGGGAGAAAGTGAAAGTTAGCTCAGGGAAAATAATTTTTCAGATGTTTTTAGTAAATTAGCTATGAACACGTGTACCACCATATCTGATGTTAATGATCATGCAGATAATAACTATTCGTGGCTCTTTTCTAGAAATGAGTATTCATGAATTGGCCCGATGGTGTTTACGCAAATGCAAAAGTTTTCAAGATATAGACAATGTGGCACTAGTGTGAAAGTCTAAATGCCTCTTTCGGTTTATTCACATTTTATTGGGAAAGAATAGATCATTGATATTTTATGGGTGTTTTTAATAAAACAATCATTCCAATCCCGCTTTCTGGATATGGAATTATTTTATGGCCAACGAAGCACGTTGCTTGATCCTCTTCACCTCTTTATCTTTGTTGAAGTAGGCCAAAATATTTACTAACAGTGAATACTAATCAAAGACCTCTTTCTTGCTGCAGGCTAAAACCATCTCTTTGATTCTTTCAGGTCCCAGTGGTTCTCATTTGATCCATCTGGAACTTTTTTTTTTAATTCGCATATAAATTGATAATATTCCTCAAAGGCTCCATTGAAAGTCGGCGCCATTAGACAGTAAAGCAACGATTTTGTCACAATATTAAACTCAGCGACAGTTGAGTGGTATCTTTTATTTTCAGGTACACTGACAGGACTCTAATATATTTCAACGAGCATTGTAATTTCCATTAAATTTCTCATCAACAACCTAAGAATTGTATCAAGGAATAAAGTTTTAAACCCTGTCCAACTAATTCGCTTTTAAACATGTTTAAGCTTTGTTGTGAATAAGGCATGAAAAACCTCGAACATGAAATCGATGAAACAAAGCAACTAAATGGTCATGTATACTATATTATTTTATGGTGTACACAAAATTGAAAGGCAAATTATCAGCCTTCGAAGTTTAGCTTTATCCGCTAAGTTAGCTGTCTTCCCTTTAACTTGTTTTGAAAATTAGAATGTTGGCCGTTTGAGTTGCTCTGGCTCTTACAGACCTGGACCTTACTTTAAACAAGACAATTAGTGTCTTTTACAAATGCATAGGATAGGAGGTAATTAATTAGCACGTTTCCAAACCGGAAGATGAAGTTTTATTGTTATAGAAATTAAAGTTAGCAGGTAATACAAATATAACTTTATACCATCTCGTCATTTACAAAACTAATTAGAGGAAAGACGTATAATAAATATTTATTTAACAATTAGTTCATGCGTCACCGTGTGTATGTTAAGATATAAAGCATTGGAAAGTTTTGGGCCTAAGAGCTGCTCGCTTCGCTCACGGAAAGACGAAGTATTAAGTATCGTTCATTATAGCTAGTTAAGCAGAAATTAATAACAGAACACGATCTGTGCTTTTCTTAAATAGAGCATAGAGAGAAGGGGAACGTTAGCTTATGGACAAAAAAATAATTTTTCAGATGCTTTTAGTACACTAACTACGAACAGATGTGCACCACCATAAATGTTGGTAGTCAGATCATACTTATTCGTGACGCTTTTCTGGAATGACTATTCATCAACTGGTCCGTTGGCCTGGGACCAGGCTCCGTTCGCAGATTTTTCTCCTTCACCCTTTCCCCACTGCGGAGCCTGGTCGCAGGCTATTGGTCCGTTGGCGTTGAAGCAAATGAAAAAATTTTAATTGATATAGACATGTGGCACTAGTGTAAAAGTCTCTAATATCTCTTTCGGTTTATTTTTAAAAAAAGTTTTCGGAAAGGATCGATCAATGATATTTTATGGCCGTTTTTAAGAAAACAATTATTCTACCTGCACTTGCTGAATATGAGATGTTTATGGCCGACGCGGCACATAGGCCCCTATTCAACGCGAGCACTTTTGGAATAATTGTTGATTATTATGCGTAACGTACGCTTAAATACAACATCCAATGGATTTCTATTGAAAGCATCATGATTGTCACTCCCTTTTTCAATATTTGTACCTTCTTTATTTCAGGTACCATCTGAGTGAGTTTAAAGGTGATATGTCATGAGAATATTGCTGTTAGGTCTGTGCTTATTAATAAGTGATATAGAAAATAACCTGACACAGCCCCCTTTAACACCAAAGAGGAGTAGATGGGCCCTCTGATAGTAAACAGTGGAACCTAACGAACTTCTGTATAACGAAATCCTCGGTATAACGAACGACTTTCTTTACACCAGTAATCATAGTAAAAAATACCAAAAAGAACCTCGATATACCGAAACCTCGGTGTAGCCAACAAATTTTGCCAGTCTTTTGGCCCGTCTATATTTTATCGACGACCCAGCCGGTGAATAACGTATATGTATGATGACCTTAGAATTCGCATACTGATTCTAAGTTTTACAAGACCTGAGTGAATGCCAAATTTATCATCAACACGTTAAATATTTAGCAAGCAAAATTCCATTTGTAGTTGATTTAACTTTGCTCTAGTAATCATGACTTGTGTGTGTATGTTTTATCCCGGCAAATTTGACCTCTTTAATCACGGTATTTTATTTGTCTTCTCTGTTATTGGTAATATGCCATTGTTTGCTCAATAATTTTGCTAAAGTTGTTGTTCCACCAACCTCTGAGATCCGACTGAATCGACAATTTGTTAAACTAAACAGGAATTTAGTTATCTAACTGAAAAAGAGCAAAGCTGTACTTTTGAGAACAGCTGAAATGGCTAATGGTGTCCCTTTACACAAATTTTATGTGAATATTATTGCGATAGGGTCGACGAGTTTTAAGTTATTGCAAGGGTGAATTCTGCTGTAGTAGACTGTATTGATTGAAATGAACGAGTACCAGAAAGCATAATGTAAGAGGCACAACAAGAATGCGCTAAAACAGTGTAGACCTTCTTGGTGATCTCAAATAATGTAAACCGACATAAATTAGTAAATAAATAAATGCGTCATTTCATGAGAACTCATTTAGCATTTTTGCTATGGGACCATTAATTGACTGTAGATTGGCAATTCAATCGGAGAAACTATAATAATTTGTCTCCGTTTGCTGTCATCTTCCTACAATTAAAATATAGTGGCGCCTAAATGTTGTCAATAGTAGAATTATATATAGAACAAAGAACAGAAGATGTTTTGTAAGCAAAAGACTCAAGAAAACAGACCTGTCGAAGAATCAGTAAGCATGAACACAACAGCAAATGTGGGATCGAATTTCAGAAGCTGCCGCTCCAGTCTGATAAGTCAAGAAGCACTAAAAATTGAGCACATGGTTGCTTTCAGCCTGATCCTTGTTGTTTCGTTGGTTGGAAATTCTCTCATCGTATTAATTGTTTACAAAAAACCAACTTTGAGAAAACCGATAAATATGTTGATCGCAAATATGGCCATTTCCGACCTGCTCTATCCAATATTCTGGGTTCCTGCTCGTCTGGCAGAAGGTCACGCTGGCTCGTGGCTTATTGGTGGTACCCTTGGTCAGGCCTTGTGCAAAATACATGTTTTTCTTTCAGACGTTTCCTCGTTAGTATCGATTCAGAGCCTTGTTCTGATAACAGTGGATCGATTTGTAGCTGTTGTAGTTCCACTCCGTTCCCCTCTCATAAGTAGAAAGCTGTGTCTATTCTTCATTGTCGCTACGTGGATCGTCGGAATGGCCGTTCATTCGCCATATCTTGTTGCTTTAAAACTTGTTAAATGCCGAGAACGATTGAGGTGCAAACTTCTGTGGCAGGAAGCCTTCGAAGGAAACACATATCCAAATTACTTCCTAGCATGTGCTATCGTGTTTTTCTACATTCCGTTTGTCCTCTTGGTGATACTTTACTCCATCATCCTGATCAAGCTTAAGAAACAAGCTCATCCAGGTGAACACTCAGCCAACGCTGAGGAACAGAGGGCAAGAAGAAACAGAAACGCGCTTAAGATGGCCACTGCTATCGTGGTAGTGTTTTTCATTTGCTGGATACCCTTTCTTAGTAACGCGATAATAGACAATTTCAGTGCACCAGACAGTCTTATTTTTTCTTCTTGTAGTTTTTATCGATACTTTAATGTCACCTTCTTTATGGCTTACGCAAACTGTGCTATTAACCCGATTATCTGCCTCATTCTTAACAGTAACTACCGCCAAGCTCTTAAGAGACTTGTGAGTTGCTGTGCCGCCGATGCAGCGGAATATTAACGTTTGAAGACTGAAAGCCGGGTCTGAAGAGATTCATTAAAAGAAAAAAAAAGAAGAAGACCAATAACAACTAATATGTTATGTAAAATAACAGCGAAATCACGAAAGAAATGCATGGGAATTATGTTTTCGGCTGCAAAGTAATCTGGAGCACGCCCTAACCCTAACTCTAGGAAGGATGGAAAATGTTGTATTGAACGCATTTGCAACGTATAATTTTGCCGAAAAACGCCGATCGAAGCCAGTAGAGCCGTTTTATTATTCTGTTCACTGAAACAGCTTCTGGATGGTTTGCTGCAGAACCGGCAAGACATCTAAAGAAAACGGTATGATATTAGCAGATCGACATGCAAACTTTGAAACCTAAGTAAAGGAGCGCAGGTAGACATATTTCTACCACGAACCAAGACGAGGGACTTGAGCATAGGTGAAAGAAGAGGCCAATTAGATACGGTCGTCCTACATTGTAAAGAAAACTGATGTGTCTGAGCTAAAGTGCCATAGAGTATACTCAGCTAAAGCGTTTAGAAAAAAAATCAACAGTTACCGGTGGAAGTTAGTTGATAACAACAAAGAAAGTCTTTCAACACAGAGAGGCATACTAAAGTGTTCAGCCTACCCTTAGTTGTCATCACCAGAATCACCCCGAGCACCTGCCCAGTCACGTGCACCGGTGCCATGTTACAAATATGGCGTGAACAAACATTTTTCTTTCTTTTTGCGAATAATAACTAGGGGATGTTGGAAAAATGGACTGCGTGACTGTCACGCTGTGAAAGTAAACTTTGTTCCTTTTGATCTAGTTACTTAGTGATAAATTGTAATGACGTGATGTAGGTTTAGGATTTTGAAACTATAATCATCTTTGTAGCATGGACATTAAATTGTGAAGTGATTCGAGTCTGTAGGTCGTTTTAACGTGAATATTTTCTGGAAAATCTCTTGTGTTAGAAGCAATCGGAAGATTCCTGACAGTGCAACTTCAAGGGAGAAAATTGTGGTATACCCTGACGCCGAGTGAGAAATTAGTAGATTTTTCGCTGTTTGTGCGAGGAACAATTTAAAGACTTTTTCCCCTGTTTCAGCTGTAGCATTTTCTACGGAATGCTTCATTTCCCTCGTTTATATGTTGCCTATAGTCACCGACGAAGTCCGCCATGTTTTAATTTGTTATTGTGTAAAACTTAATGACATTAAGAAGTGACGTCAGTATTCCGTTTTATTCCAAATATTCTGCTCAGCTGATCTGTATTTGGAATATCTGTTCCACTTAGTTTAGAACTGGAGTAACAGCATAGGCGTACGGGCCGGGGGGGCGAGGGGGGCTGCAGCCCCCCCCCAAATTTTGGGCAACCCAGATTTTTTGGGCAGCGAGAGAAAATTTGGGCAAAGTCAGTTTTTAAAGACGTCACCATGTTTATTTATTTATTTTGAAGACCTGAATATTAACCTGAAGTCGGCGTAATAATCCAGTTACATCACAGCGGTCGCCTAGCATGTGATGAGTAATTTACATATTTGCAGTTTTTTCATGGTTGGGCACTATACTGCACTGCACTAGCTGGAATGGGCTATTTCCAGTCGTGAATTGATTAGAATAAACTTTCGCATAACTTTCTAGAATCATCTCCACTCGAAGAACAGTGTATGGCAGATAGCATTAGCAGTGGGTATGAAAATGAAGAAGTCGCTGACTACTGAATTCTCAGTTTGAATTAGTATAGGTAATAGCATGATTTGTAGTGATATTTGGCATAAATACCACGAGTGATATTTCAAAATTGTTATACGTACCACTGCTCTAAGCCAATCAAATTGCAGAAATTTCTCATGTAGTAGTATAACGAGAAGAATCTTAATTCTTTTAAAAAATCTATCGACCGGTTTAAAATTATTCGCTAATTTGTTAAAGTAGACCGAAATGTTTGCAAAACCGCTGACAAGAGTGCCTGGATACGTACTAATCAAATCCTTCTTTCGATTCTAGCAATCAAGCAGGGCTATCTCCACGACCTTTCACACATGTTTTTAAAAAGATTAAAACTACTATGAGGTGAAATTGCATGTTAAAAGCGCTTCGTTTTCTACAGATAACGGCCAGACATCAAGATTTTCCTTTTCTTACCGTATTTTCAATAATAAAAACTTTTTCCAAAATATCTCGACCGTATTGGAGGAAAAAAGCTCCTGTGAACGATTTTGTAAGGTTCCCCGTGCCGAGAATCATTGCTGAAGCAAAATAGGTAATGGAGTCATTTCGTTGCTATGACAACTCCGATGTCATTGCAACCCTGATGATGAGAAATTGTCATCTTAATACAACTGTGGTCGCAATTTTTCCAAATGTTTGTTTACGGCGACGTATCGAGCCACCTTCATATGCCAGGACGGCCTATGTTGTAGTAATATGGCCCTCATTTCTTTTCGACTCTTTCGTAAAAATTTGGGTAACTTGAAAGATTTTTTTGAGCAAATGGTTTACCGCCCCCCCTGGCAAAAAATTTCCCGTACGCCTATGAGTAACAGGTCAATCGAACGGATATTCCGGATCTTTCAATTGCATTCCTATTGAGCTCAAACCAAGTTAGAATCGCATCGTGTTTCGGTTATTTCTTAGAGCATTAGAGACGTGTACCATAAATAATAGTTATCCGCTTTTGTATAAATCGTATGAAAACTAGCTAGAGAGACGTGTATCTCGTTGTTTAACATTCTGACTTCAGCTGTCTTAGCGTTAGGCATTAAGCCATAATGACCTTACATCTTCTTTTGCATGCTGATTCTGAGATGTGAAAGACGAATAAATTTCAAATTAATACAAAACGTCAAAGGTTTAGTGAACAAAATTCTATTTGTTTAGTCACTGGCATGAGCTTCGCTCTAGTATTTATGACCTGTGTGTGTACCTTATATCGCGGCAAATATGACCTCTTTGTCACGGTATTTTATTAATTTGACGTCTCCATTATTGCAAAAAGCCCAGTGAGGGCGAGTCGACGAGTCTTAGAGCTCCTAGGGAATTAATTTCAAGGGCGAATTCTGCAGTTGTTGACTACATTTATTGAAATGGAAAAATAGCAGAAAACATAATGAAAGCCAAATCAGTGCAGTATAAACAGTGTATACCTTCCTTTCTGTGATCTTGGATAATGTAAACCGAAAAGAAATAATATGCAAAAATAAGAAAAGGAAAGTGTTCAAGAACGGGGCGAGAGAACCCCTGGGATGCTACTCTAAAAGAACCAGTTCCACGACTTATTCGAACGCTTGTCTGTGATTGGGCAAAAAAATATTTTTTGTGCCCAATCAGAAGCCAAGCATGTATTGTGCTGCCTTCGTAACCTTCTTACACGAAAGAGTTCACCTGCAAACTCGACTGTTTCCTCTCCGCCCCTGAAAAAAATCAGTCTGGCTCGTGCGGGAGAGTTTCTTCGAGAAGAGGTTTCAGTGAATTCAAAATGAGCCCTTAAAGTCTACTCTACCAGTTTCATTCGACCTTCTTGTATCACTGAAGAGAAACATTTAACAACAAATTTACAAACTTTAAAGGCCGAAAAAATGTCTCCTGCACGCGCCTGCATGAGTATGCCGAGCAGACGTAAACAAACACCCAGACGATTTCGCACGAACAAGCCTAGAAGTACCCTGGTATTTACGAATTGACCTTCGAGCAGTCCACAGGCGGATTTCTTCAATTGTTGCATTTTTCGTTTTATTTTGGTTCGGTAACATGCTAAATTATGGGGTAAGATTTCCGTATAACCCCATACACTTATTATGCGTGCATGTTTCCACTCTATTCATTTTCATAATTATCAAGTAGAATGAAATTGCTACGTGCATGATAACTGTATGAGTTTACACTGAAATTTTACCAATTATGGCTTTTCAGTGGGGCCTATTTTTACTGAAAAAAATTCTCCAAGAAAGCTCTCCTGCAGGAGCCAAACATGCACGGCCAACAGTCGAGTTTGCAGGTGAACATTACAAGCCTCAGCGTTCCGGAAGTTAAAAAATGCGGCGCGCCTGGTTGTTTTGAAGTGACGTAATCATCCAGTTGAGTATCTGTCATCTTAACACTTTTGCGGTCAACTACCGCAGAGCTCGTAAAGTACTTTAGGGACGGACCACTAGAAAAGTTATGGGGGGGGGGGGGTGTACTTCGTCTGTCCCCCCCATAAGTTTTCTAATGGTGCGGCCCTTAATTAAAATCGTGTTCAAACCACTGTGGAGGAAGTCTGTTTATAATTGTGTCGATAAATGCACTTCTGACTTTCATGAGGTTCAATTTTGAATGAATTATCAAAATTTTTGTTAAGCGGTTCCCGGGAAAAGGAACTTTTATAGTGGCGCAACACAAATTTTTCGAAAGTCGAGGAGGTGCTGACAAACCATTCACTATATCTATGCGACTAAAGGAGGGTACAAGGTATATAACACGTTTAGCATTTCGACCCATAGCCGAAAAAAATAAATTAGACAGTTGCCCTATGTCCTTTCTGGTTTATCTAGGTAGAAGTCCTGGCATATAATTATGCCCGAGCGCTTCTAGGATATAAAACACGTTTAGCATTTCGACGCGAAAAAAAAAAACAATTGAAAGCTGTTCCATATCCTCTCTGGTTCATCCAGGTAGAACTAGTCCTTGCATGTTATTCATGCCTGACCGCTTCCAGGATATATAACACGTTTAGCATTTCGACCTGTAGAACAAAAATTAGGCAGTTTTTCGACATCCTTTCTGGTTCATCCAGGTAGAAGTCCTTGCATGATATTATTATGCCTGATTGCTTCTAGGATATATAACATGTTAAGCATTTCTTACCACACTTTCATCCTCGTCGATAAAACACAAGTTATAGTCAAATTAAGAGGCCGCTTTGAATCGATACGATTTCATTTGCATTTCTCCAAATTGTAGAGGGACTGAATATTAGTTTGAAGAGTGCTTTGAACTGTAGTACATGTTTAATCAACATAAACGAGAAGTGATCTAAAAGCTGAAGGAGAAGTTTGTATTTCTAAATTTTTTCCTGACATCAAGTTAGGGGCCGAAGATTTAGGGAGAAAAAAGGGGGGATTAAAAAAAGAATGCAGACTCTCAGTATGTCAGGGAAAAAGAAAAAAATCTATCGTGGGGCAACATATTCTTACGCAAAGCAATTTACCTATACCCTCCCCCCCCTCCTTACCCCCAAACGCCTCAAAAGTCAGCTAACTGGCCACTTAGTCAGCACAAAACGAAAAACAAATAACAAGGACAAAAATTAAAAAGAGCCAAATTTTCAGGACCGGAGTCGGTTTCTTTGAGGTTCGCACAGTTTCTAGTAGTTATATTTGAATGGATTACGCGAAAAGGGATTTTCTTGTCCTTTCAGGTATTGTATCATTTTTAGTGTGTTTACAGTGCTTCAAAAATTGCTTATTTCAATATAGATATTTCTTATTTCTTGCTTACAAATATTTTCTATCGAACCGGCCAAGTTTATATTTAGCCAAATTCGAAAATAGTATAGAGAATGTTGCTGACTAACACTTGCCCATACAATGCACTCTCGCTTTATTAACTTGCTTTGTTACATCAGTATAAAAACGTTCACCGGATTAATCGAAATTCGATATTTACTTTAGAACACAGAATGTTATGAAAACGGTTGCAGTTTTATGGAGTTTGTGTCATTTTCGTGATAGAGAATCGGAAAGGATATATTTTAGTAGACATCAGATTCCAGAATATGTAAATACAAGAGGGCGGATCAGAATGATATGATATTGCTCTTATACTGAAGGCGAAAGGGGGTATAATATGTGGTGCGCACTTTCAAAAGTACATTCCCTTTTTATTCCGGACTTAAAGGGGTCATAAAAGTGTACAGTTTAATGGGTATTAAAGTGTTCACTTCAAGAGTCCTAAAGTGAACACTTTAAAGGAGTCTTAAAGGGAACACTTTAAGGATTAAGTTATAGCAAACATTATGATGAGAAGATGGAATCATAATGTCATTTTATTTCGAGGCATTTCCCGTTTCTTATCAGCAGTGTGCAGGCGGTGTTTCCCTGGCCAATCAGGAGATCGAACATGTTTAGCGCTGTATAAAAGACTTGTTATGTGTTTCGCGCGGCCCCTCCAACTATTACTATCAGCCTGTACTAGTGACATCCCTTTGACGCTTAGTTGAAAATTTTTCCCACCACCTCCCCAGTCTCCGACCTGCCACCGTCTACATCCTCTTATAGTTTTATCGTCTTTAGTTTGTCGCAAGTAATGGCTAATTTGTGGCGGATTTTTGTCCCCACCTTTCCTGAAGAGATGTTAATTAGTTAGTTTTATCATTGGTTTCAATTAAAAACGTCACGCTTGTGGCCTTTTATCCCAAACAGCTGAGATTCTTGCTCAATACGTGTATGCAAAGCTGATGGGTATTAAAATCATGTCAGCTTAAAGACGACTTCCATATTTGCGAAGCACTGTTGAAAAGGAGCTTTCTTTGGAAGTATGTTACTGAGCTTTACTTTAAGTATGCAAACGCAGACGTATTATTGGTCGTTAGGTTAAAGCCTTATACACACCTATAGAGAAACGTTCAACATGAACACAACAGCAAGTGTATCAAGTTCCCAAAGCTTCCCCAGTCTGATAAACCCGGTAGCAGAAAAACTTGAGAAAACAGTTGCTTACACTCCGATCGCTGTTCTTGCTTTGGCGGGAAATTCTCTCATCGGAATAATTGTCTGGAAAACTCCAACTTTAAGAAAACCAATTAACCCATTGATCGTGAACATGGCCATGTCAGACTTGTTTTATCCAATATTCCTGCTTCCTGTTCGGCTGGCGGAATTGCACGTTGGCTCGTGCCTTATTGGTGGTGCCCTTGGTCAGGCCTTGGGCAAGCTACACGTTTTCCTTGTAGATGTCTCATCGTTTGTATCGATTCAGAGCCTGATTCTGATAACAGTGGATGGATTCTGAGCTGTTGTAGTTCCACTCCCTTCCTCCCTCATCAGTCTCAAGCGTTGTAAGTTATCCATTTCTGTCACGTGGATTGGCTATGGCGATGGAAGGGCCATATCTGTTTGCTTCAAGTCTTGTTGAAAACCCAGAAGGAATGATGTGCCAGCTTCAGTGGAAGGAGGTCTTCGAAGCGGAAAGATCATATGCTATTTTCCTCATATCAGAGGCTATGGTGTTTGTTTACATCCCTGCCGTTCTTTTGTTTGCACTTTACTCCATCATCCTGATCAAGGTTAAAAAGCAAGCCAATCCAGGTGAACAGACAGCCAACGCTGAGGAACAACGGATAAGAAGAAACCGAAAAGTGCTTAAGATGGCCATAGCTATCGTTGTAGCGTTTTTATTTTTTGGATACCACTTTTCACTAACCAGTTAATATTTTATTTCGCATCGGACAGTCTCGTTTGGTCTTCCTGCAGTTTTATTCTATACAAAACTGTCACCTCCTTTATGGCTTACGCAAACTGTGCTATCAACCCGATTATCTGCCTCATTTTTAGCAGTAACTATCGCAATTGTCTTGAGAGATTTGTTACTTGTCGGCGTACAAGGTTGACGTTTGAAAAATGATTGTTCTAAAGCTATTCGTCAACGAAGACCTAATATTCAGAACCTTACCTTTGCAAAATAAACCGATTTCATCTTTGTGGAACATAAGAAAACTAGACCAAAAGGCTCCTTACTGCATAAGTTAGTCGTTCCGTTAAAGAATCTTCTGAATTTATTGCTCCTTACCCTCTAAACGGTGCAGCTGTACATTAAAACGATATGCCTGTGTTAAGCTCAAAACAATTAGCATATGGTGAAGTTATATTCGACGAACATTTTAGCGATATTGGCCCCTTAGAGCCGCCGCCTGTTGCCTTGTGACACATGAGAAATATCATAAACAGAAGTAAAGAACAATAGAGGTCCAAAATGGAACCCTGTAGGACACCACAAATAACACATTTGGTAGACGAACAATGCCCATTGTATTATTGGGTCATCGCGAATATACCGAAATTCTTGTCGAATATAACTTCACCCTATGCAAAGTTAATGTGTTATGGCATCTTTCTTTCCTTGGAAGTAAGATGATCTGTAATGTATATATTGTATGTATTGCATCACATGACTTTTTTTGGCCATGCATGTTGCAATTCGTAATACACAGAATACACAGAAGAAATGAAAAAGAAAGAAGAAGAAATGAAGACTTGGATGCGTAAGCCGAAGAAGGCCTTAGATATTTACCGCCTTACAATTTCCACCATTTTTATTTTCATTCTTGCTGTCCTGTTGGTTGCACTTTACTCCATCATCATGATCAAACTTAAAAAGCAAGCCCATCCAAGTGAACGGTCAGCCAACGCTGAGGAACAGAGGACAAGAAGAAACAGAAAAGTGCTTAAGATGGCCATCGCTATTGTGTTGGCGTTTTTTTTTTTTGCTGGACCCCCTACGTCATTAACGAGTTGATATCTCTTTGTTTGCTCAGGGATATTTCATATTCCCGTAGTTCAGATATATACAGTTATCTCAGCTCCTTTCCTATCTCCGCATATGTTAACCACTCTCCGTAGTGGATGTTTTGGATCCGACGGGTTTGGTTATTTCCTGTGGACGACTGAAACTAGCTATTTTTGATGTCAGCTACGTCATAAACGCAGGTGTAGTCTCAAATGAAAACTCCCAAATTCAAAATGGTGGACATTACAATGACTCTACAATGTTCTGTTTGGAACAAAAAATTCATATCTCTGCGCGCGTAGCAGTTCATTGATGCGTATTCTACCTCAGTACTGAATCCAAAATATTTAGTATCCAACACATACGATATACATATCTTCGACGATATATATATCTTCGACAATAACTAACCAATTCTGTATATGTCAAATGCATAGTAAGTTACACTGCTTGCTGCTCACGTAAAAAATAAACTGACTTCAATACAATACTCCTGCAAATGGCTTTTACCAATTGTTAAGTCCACGCAACTGTCACAGGACTAATCTCTCAGATTTTAAAGATATATGGAAATTTAACGAAAGTTCGATAAATATCCGATCAATAGGGTTTTAAGGTTCTGAAACACTCTTAAGGAAGAAAGAGTTAGCTAGTTAGAGAGAAGACAAACGGAGTTAGCAAGAAGGAGTTAGCAACTGGAAAGAAAGATTTGGAGATTGTTCAGGGAAAAGTTAGTCGGAGATAGAGGGAGTGAACCACAGCAGCAGCGAAGGCTTAACCTTAAAGATAAGTGAAATGGAAGAGAAGTAAGAATGTACAGCAGTCTTGCGAGTAAGTAAAATAAACCTTAAAAAAGTAACTGTTTGATTGTGGAGTTCCTCTCGTCTCTCCGTCCCTATCAAAAAACGACACACAAACATCGTGTATCACGACTAACAAAAACGCGAAAGACTTCGTAAATGCTAAAAGCCGTGCCAGACCAGAAAGAATCTCTACTCGCAGGATATCAGTTTAAACCCAAAATTTCCCACACAAAAAAACTTGGCACATTGTAGCCCTTTAAGTTTAAGTTTAAGTTTAATAATTCTTTTTACCAATGTACAAAATAAAAAAATATATACATATGTAAAAGTACAATAGGTAAAGGAAAGCAATAGGGGGAAACTGAATTCCCATATAAAAACTGCCCTCCAAAACGAAAAGATAAAACAATTATGAATAGAAAAGTAATACATAACTATACATCACGTGATACTAAGAGAAAAAAAACAAACAAAAAAAACAACTAAATAAACTACGAAATAAAGTTTTAAAAGAGTTCAAGCTGTAGCTGGAAGCAGACATAACGAAGTTTGGTAAAGAGTTCCAGTCATTAACGTAACGATTAAAAAATGAAAATTTAAAATAGTTTGTCCTTGCTGCTCTAGGCCTGATTTTAAAGTCATGGTTTCTTCTAGTTCTTGTCGGGCCAGTCAGATCCACATATGTGGTATAATCAATATCAGAATAGCCATGAATAATCTTGTAAAGTTGAACCAGGCAAAGGTATTTTCTTCTAAGCTCCAATGTTGACCAGTTGAGTTCAGTGAGCCTTTCAGTGTAAGAATTGTGAGATCCACATATCAGTCGAGTAGCACGACGCTGAGTGGATTCAATACTGTGTATGTGTTTAACCAAATATGGATTCCACACTGGGCAGGCATATTCCAGAATAGGACGAACTAAAGCGGTAAAAGCTGTTTTGATTGGCACAGGATCTTTAGACCCAAACGTTCTCCTTATTAGATCCAATACTCGATTTGCCTTACCAACAATGCAATTGATATGAGCGTCCCACCTTAAAGAAGATTCAATCCAAATGCCCAAGTGCTTATGTTTATTAACAGCCGACAGATTATTCTCATTTATCACATACTGATGAACTAAAGGACAATTGGTCTTGGTAATATGTAAAGCCTTACACTTTTCCGACTTCAGCGTGACCTTCCACAAGTCAGACCATGAGGCGGCAGACTTTTTTAATGTCTTACAAATTTTCAATGAGGTCGTATGAAACGACGGTTAACGAGAATATTATCGTTTAAAAAATCTATTGAGCGATTATTTGCTCAATTTTTGTTAATGTATAAGCCAAAATATATACTTAAATGCCAAGAGAATGAAAGCATCTCACGAATGCTAATGAAATCCCCCTCTTTTGAGATCGTTTAAAGCTATCCCTTTGATTCTTTCAGGTTTCATTATTTTTCATTGTGACCCATCTGGAACTCAATTCATTTTTCTGGCGGAGCGAGTTTATAATTTTGTCGCGGGCGCAGCGCGCGGATCACGCGAGGATCGCAAGGGAACTGCGATTTCATAAATCTTTCTATCGGTTTGGTATCCGCAGTTGCCAGCAACGAGCCATAAACAAATTCTAAAGACGCCATTAAACATGACGTCATCATGCATTTTGGGTTTCAGGCAACACAGCAACAAGGCAACTTGGGCTCATTTTATTCATCTTCTATTTTAATATTGTACGTTGGCGAATCGCCAACAGGCGAATCGCAAAGTATCTCTGAGGCAAATAACAGCGGGCTGCCAACACAACGGTGCCCGATTGGACAAGTGGCCGGAAATCCTTGCCGTGGGAGTTTTAACACCGAAAGAACGGTGACCTAAACTTCATCTAGCCTGCGAAAGCATCCATTTCTCCTCGCTCAGAGCAATGAGAAATGGATGCTTTCGCAGGCTAAACTTATTAATAAGCGAGAGCAGTGATAAAGGAGACCAGTCCGTTAATCGAGCGGCCTATATAAAGCCCGAGAGTGAATAAACACGGAGATAATGCGAAATGGTTTTGAAATGCTCGTTTTGAGCTAATCTTCCTCAAATGTATCTTTGAATTCATGATAAATACAGCTCTACAAGGTTCGAACAGTGTGACTGGCAGAGAAAAATACTTCAACACTATTAATTTTAGAGAAATTTTGGTGTAGTGGTCAGAGGCCGCACTTTTTGGCTTGAGGAAGTTGGGGTGCAGGTTCAAATCCCGGCGTGGCTACTTCCATTTTCTTTTTTTTTCATCGTATTTTTACCCTTTGGCTTTCTCACTGCTGACCACGTTAGCTTCGCGAGATTTTTGCGAAAACGTATTTCTAGTTTAATTTGCTATTTCCATTTATCTAAAGCAACGTTTTTGATGTCACAATATTAAACTCAGCCAAAGCCGTAACGAAGTCGACTGTAGAAGGAGCAGATAACTTGTCCAGGTGCCCCATTCAAACGTATGACTTAACATGTTTAATTAAACCATGTTTTTAAACATGAAAAACGGACACGAAAAACAGGAACACAGGTTTTTAATTACACAGGATGCAGTAATAAAATTCAATCCGTTTTGTAATTTGCAATAAAGTTGCCATCAACCTTAAGTGTTTTTCTGAAGGCAAGAAAAAATTATACCGTCTTTGACTAAACAGGTTTTAATTTATATGTTTAAGCTTTGGTGTGAAAGGGGCATA